TAGAGCTATTGTTTACTTATTATATCCAAATAGATCAGTTTACGTCTAAATAACATCTTTTATTTCAAACACTTCTACCTACTTACTGTAGGTTTTAAGTGTAAGCCTAGTACTTAGTCAACATACTTTTAATCGATATTGAAGGACGCTTGAATATTTTATATTTAATACGTTAGTTATAGCAATTATTTTATACCCTTGTTATTTAAAACTTTATGTATTCCTGAATATGAACTTCGAATAAAAAAAATTCATACTATTTAAATTCAAGTCTATAGTCGAAGTTTTGTTATCTTGTAGGTATGTTGTATGGGATAGTACATTGAAAAGTAGTAAATTTGTTTTCATTCAAATGAGTACACGCAGAAATCGTAAATATAATTATAAAAATTGAAACTATTAAAATGTTCTGTTTTTAATACTATTAAATTATCGCAACTCACTGATGTCTACCAATATAATATAAGTTCATTAATTAATATAAATTATTTAAACACAGGAAAGAATTTTTCTACAATCATCGAACATAAAATTGAACAAAATATATTTGTTATTTAAAATCACTAATATATACAACCTGACACTACATTAACAAACCGGTTAGAACTCAAACGAAAATACGTTTACACGTAAAAATATTCCGTTTAGAAATATTCTAAATTGATTAAAATTAAACTTACCGATATAAAAAAATACTCTCACAGTTAGTATATCAGAAAAACTCAAAGGTGGTTACTTCCTCAATTACTCAGTGTACACTGACCAATATTTGTAACAGGGTTGACTAAATCACCTCGCCATCGGGTAGCTTTGGGGGTTTCATTACATTTCTCTTTTGTTTCATTACCAGGTACATCCTTAATTCTTATTGCCCTCTATTGTTTTTAATTCTTCCAAATATAGATAAGACTACGAAGAAAATTCCATTCACTAGTAACTAGTTAATCCGTTTATTGGACTAATCAGCTTTCATGCGTTATTCTTATTGTTCTTTCTTATTCTTAATTATTTTTTTTTAAATACCAGAAATTGTTTTGTTCATATTTTCAAACAATAAGGTGAGTCTGCCGATATAATTTCGGTGGATTTTTAATAATCTTGTTCGTTTTATAGTCGTTAGGTTTAAATAATAAGATCTAAGATTTTCGCAAGTCTTATTCATTTAAATGAAATTTATATACAGAGCTGTTAAAGTATTTCCTATCATCTGAATATCTTATGTGAAAGAATGAATTCTACATACAAGTAGATGGAGTTGCAATGGATTCACCGGTTTCCCCCCTTTTGTCGCTGATATATTCATGAAAGACTTCGAGGTGCGAGCCCTTTGCTCTCCTCGAGTAAGACCTTTAATATATAAACGGTATGTAGATGACACCTTCAAAATATTAAATTAAAAAAACATCTGCTTTTCTGAACCATTTTAATTCTATCAATAGCAAGATTCAGTTAACTATAGAATTAGAGGCAAATAATTCATTAGCTTTTCTTTATATATTGTCATCAGGAATCCTGATAATACTTTGGGACATACTGTTTATAGGAAACCCACACATACGGATACGTATATCAAGGGTTATTAAAACCACCACCCTATAGAGTTAGCTACCGTTGACAAATCGTATGCCAGAAAATTAAGAAATCGATGGTGGTAGGTGATAAATAACAAGACCAACATACAGACACTCACATCTCGTCTGCCCGTGATCCCAGTAGCTCAAAAGTAGCCGAAGCGTCGGGAGTATGTAGTTTTTATCAAAAATAAAGTCACGTAGTCGCGTAATTATCCGAAAAATATCAGTTTCATTCAAACGTTAGGTTTAAAATTTTAAATTACTTAAAATAACTATGTTTTTAAATACCCCCGTCACATAATTAAATGGGAATTATTTATATAACTGATATTTATAATGAATGTTTGCAAGCTGCACTAATATTTATAGGTGCTTTCTCTGATTGGTAATTATATATTTAAAAATTGATCACGAATTTAAGATTGCTTTCTCAAAGTTTTGTAGTACTCTATTGCAATTTATTATTATTATATTTTTTTAGTATATAATGTATATCGGAAAATATTGCTATATCGGAAAAATATAGGGGAGAGTCGGATATATCGTACCACTTTTCACTTTAACTCAAATATTTCGACTATAACACGTCTTATAATAATTAATCCATATGTAAAATAAACTTTCATATTTAAGCTTCCTAAGAAGAAGAGAACAGATCCTTGCGATTATTCTAACATTGTTAAAAATGCTTTTTTATAGAGGCTTGCCATCGGTACGATTTAGCCGACTAGTCGTTTTAATCGTACCACTAAGTCTTTAAATCGTACCATGGATGTTTAAGTCGTACCACAGAATGAAAGACATTAAAATTCTCAATCAAATTATTTATTTTTAACTGTTAGGTAAGTAATAAAACAACATTATTTATTTCTTTTAGGTATTAGAAACATAATTTTTAACTCTTAGGTTATATAAAGGAACTATAAGCTTTCTCAGTAAAATAACATGATTATACTATAATAATGAGATCAATCAACATAACTAATAAAAATGAGACAAAAAAAAACAGTAAACTATAATAATAAAGTAACAGTTAACAAGAATGTTATTTGTAATATAATTATTGTGCATATTTTTTAATGGAAACAATCATGACAAATGTCTGGATTCGAAGTACATGTCTCATGTAGCCACCGTTTACAGCGAACGCATTGAATCCAATCAGTTTTTGGACCCTTCTTATCGTAGTAAGAACAATTGCACTTTCGACATATATTTTCAAGATAATTATCGCTGTCATCATCATCATCTAGTTCTACAACAAGTGTCTCTCCTGAATCATTGCTACTGGTGATAGAATGAGATCGTTTCCTCTTATAACTTTTGTTTTTGGCCTTGGGTAGTACTTACTATACGTACTTGCGGTAGTACTACAGGTATTTGCGGTTGGTAGTCGGGTAAATCGTACCAGTACAATTTAACCAACTGCAAGTGGTACGATTAAACCAAATAAGGCATTTCTAAAACAAAAGCAAATATCCGGCATAAACTCAAAACTTAGACACGCAACAAAAACACACAATAATCTAGTATACAATTGTAGAATAATAAAAAAAAACTGAAATATTATAGCTTACCTTGATTACGAGTTATCTCCTTACGAATGTACGACAATATTTATATTAATTCCTACAAAAACTGTTTTTCTTTTATTACGTGCACAGTTGTTAACTCAACGTCGATTTAAACTAGTGGGTGAAGAGGGATGGTACAGGGCCACGATTTGGCGTTGTCAGTGTATAAAAAAATATTCATTAAATGGGAAATTTAGAAGTGGTACGATTTAAATGCTAGTACGATATAACCAACTCTCCCCTACTATATTTCATTATTTTGTAAAACAAAAGTTAGAGTTTGAAATTTCATTTCACATATGTATGTTTATAATATAGAGGGAAAGTAAAAAAATATTAGTTGTACTGCTTCATTTTTATTCCACTAAATGTATATAAATTATATATTGTGTTAAATGTATTGTAAGGTCTTATCTTTTACTAAAAGGAACAGCTCACAAGTGACCATCTATATCAAAAAATCTAATTTATTGGATTTTACCAAGTTCTTTTAAACAAGAAAACATCATTAATGTTTTGATCCTTAGTTATATTCATTAATTTTAATTTTGAGCCAAGAACACACTGAAATGAACCTTATTGATAATAAAAATATATTTTTGATTGTATGTTGAATTAATTACTTTATTTCAAAATAATGTGAATAGTACATTTTATCATAAAAATAAAATGCCAAGGATATATAAAAGTTTTGATATTTATTTGTATTCATTCGTATTTTTAGTTTTTTCACGGAAATGTAAAACTTCTGAAAATTTTATAACTATTTATTCGTTCAGAAAGAATTTCTAATTTATGAGATTTTTACTTTTTAAACATTCATACAAATAATAAACTCATATCTGTTGACTCCATTTGAATTTGGGGTTTTCAGGAAATTAGCTAATTAGTGACCGGGATACTATTTCTTACCTATAACTGTTTAAGGAACTTTTCGGTTGTACCCATAATATACACAAGTATTTAAAAATCATACTTATTTTCACAATGCTTAAAAACTACAGCTGATTATAAACATATGTCTATTGTTATTTTTAAGTGAAGAGAAAATTTCAATGGTTAGAATTCTAGAAAATGAGTAAGTTTATAACTTTCAATGGATTTGTAAAATTAGTACTGTTTCTTAAAATTCAAACGACTTCCAACGGCTTAGAGCCGGTTAAAGATTATTATAAGATCAGTGTTCCATATTCTTTTGTTTGTTTATTGTTAAGGGAAAGATGTCGGGTACTCGCAAGTCCCTAGTCCTTGTCTATTGTATTTAATATTTCTACCTGCGAAAAGCAATGTGTAATACATTGCTCAGTCGGCTTGTGTTTATCGTTCAGTTCAGAATAACCGTTATAATACATATATGGATCCTAAACTTTGATTACTTCTAGAATACGTCGAAGATAAAAGTGCGTTTTCTAATTACGGCGTTATAAATACTAATAATATCATCCAACACGAGGCCGATCTTAACAATGGGAATATTATTTTCGTCAGAGATAAAAACAATGGAGCACGCAAGGCCCAAGTACTTAGGATATCTGGTATGGTGGATATACTATTCTTTCATTTTAATTATTTATGTTTTCTCATCCATAATTATAATAATTCTTACATTACGTTATTCTCACTCTTATAACGCATACAAAAATTTTACAACAGTTACCCTCCATTCAAAATGTGAGCATGCTATTGCTTTCATTCTAAGATCTTCGATAGTAACCATAACGTGGCACCTTGTGATATGAAGAGAATTAGTGCATTTTGCAAGTATAGTGAATTAATTAATTGATTGATAAAAATGTTTCTCTTTGTTTCCTATCTTATAGAAAGCATACGAAAAATAAAAGATCTCAAAATAATGTTGGAGAGACAAGACAATCAAGTGAAGAATGTCGTTACTTTGTGCATGAATACCATCAAAGAAATGAAGACTGGCCAACTGGTAAGGTGATACTTGTACATTTTATTCTCATTTTTGGTTTAATTTCTAAACGAGAACTTGGCAATATAATGATAATACTTATACGGATGTTGAAACCATGTTGTCGGAGAAAAAATAAATTAAGATTAAAAATAATTCCAGGTTTAAATCGCTCACAATATGTTTGGCATCAATGTATGTACAATAAAACAATTGACTTATCTACTAATTACAATCACATTTAAACATTAAGAGTAATCTGAAAGGGAATGATGTCATATTCGTAAAACCTAATTTATTTGTAAATATGTCGATAGTAAGTCATTTGTTACAAGTATTGTTCTTTAAAAAATATTTATATTACCACGTGGTAATTTTGTATTTGTATTTAATACAAAAATGTTTTTATTTTCAGATATTAGACCCTCAGGAAGGACGATCTTTGAATGCCTTAAATAGAACATGTAAGCTCCCAGAAGAAGTTAAAGCGAGTTCGAATGATAGCGATAGTGATGAAGAGGTAAATCAACACAAAATAGAAACATTCAAAATCAATGATTTAAAATCCGACAGATATAGACGTAGGGGTACTAAATTCGAAATTTATATCTTATTCAAAGTTCAAATAACATTGGTAAATTTGAATTTCCTCTGCTCCCTTAAAGACGGTTGTGATAGTTCTAGATGTAAAAGTTTCGGTTTAACCATTTGTTATATTTTATTTTTCAGATCCATCACAATCTTAATCTTACTAAATTCATGGCAAAAAACCATTATTATCAATCTAAAAGACGAGATTCGATGCCCAATGGACAAATAAGTCGACTTTTAAATGACAAGACTATTTTCAATATGAAAGGTATAGAATATACATATTATGAAATAATGATTATAGCATATATATGTAACAAAATCGTATTATTATTTTTTTGAGTTTTAGCTTCCCCTTCTGGAGTCGTCTAATACAAGAGATTAATAATATAACATATGACTTGTTTCGTGGTGAATAAAACATCAGAATTAATATATGAATATGATGATTAAATAATTGCAATGTTTAATATCTTCCCCTCTGTTTCTATGTGTAATACTCAGAGAAATTGCAAATTAAATTATGTTAATCACAAGATTTATATTTATTTCATATCCACTTCTTAAAGAGTTATTAACTTTTAATCAAATATTATAGATAACTATTTAAGATTTTCATACAGAGATATTGTGATAAAGATTTTGATATAAATTTTCTATTGAAATTTCAGGACCAGTATCACAACAAAATGTGAGGAGGAAAGCAAAATGTTCCGTTTACGCCATTCAAATAAAAAGAAGCGAAAGTCCACAAAAAAATAAAATATTTGCCCAGATGATGAATCAGAAGAATCGTTTATGTTAATTAGAGAAAAAGACACATAAACAAACAAGACAATTAAAAATATTAGTCAGGTAAATAATGAACTAGTGTCATTAATGTGTTACATATATTTAAAGTAAACATGGGATTCTTAAGCAACTGTTTCTTTATTTGTTTTTCAATAATGAAAACAAATTTCGCATTGAATACACATTTCATTGTTGACGGTAAAAATAGTAATAGTTCTCGTATCATCGTCTTCTCTAAAAAGGATTCCTCGCTTATATTCAATTCTTTGACAAGTATTTGTATTTTGTTTACAGATATAAGGACCCTCTGCGCGGTAAACACATAATCGTGTTAGTTGGATAACTCTGTCGCTGGCAACCTGTGTCAATCTCAAGCATGGAGGTTCAAAAGTACTGATATCCAGGGCCGTTAAACAAAAGTCAGTAAGTCGACATTAAGAAGAAGAGTTATAATGTTTTTTTTATATATGTAGTATCAGAAAATTGTGTAATGGTGTATTAACATACATAGGTGTTGTTTAGAGATGTTTTATTAAATGTTAACTTAAGTGTGTTTTTGGCCAAAAATAAATATTAAGTGATAGAAACATAAAGAAACATATGAAACATATGATCTATAGAACACATTTAATAAAATAAACTACTAAACATCCATTACATTTTATTACATAAAATACAAGGTGTATACCCAGGACTATAATAATATATATATAATATGATGTACATATATTTGTGTATTCATTTGGTAGAATAAAAATTCAGCAGTAAACGTAGAATCGCAATCTCATTGAACACTGAAAGGATATGTTAGAATGATTGATTGATAAAAGCCACTACTTATATATTATATAATTTAACATGACTGTGGTGACTGTCGAAAGTCTTTTTCGCTTATTAGATCGCCTTCTCTGCTGTGGTCTGAAATAGTCGTTCGAATGGGTCTGACACTGAACGGGTCTCTGGCTTTTTTGTTTTAAGTTTCGCTTTCAGTATTTCGATTTTGGAATGTAATTCTTTAATTACTTTTTCCATTTTTTCTTTTTGAGATACATTCATTTCGATAACCGTTTGGGTTGCTACATCGTATGTTATTTTCTTCTTGAGGACTGGACTGGACTTTCAATTTGTCCTTCCTGCCGGCACCTTCCACGATTTTGGCTCAGCTGTTTTCTTAGCGTTAGGGCTAGTTCTCGGTAAATGCCAAGTCTGACATTCATGAGATATTTATTATTACAATATAATAACTGCTAATAATCTTACTCCCTTGGAAGTTATGACACTGTTAAAAATTATTGTAATATGAACAGGCTCATCCATATTGGCCATAGGTCGGGAATTGACTCTCTCTGAAATTGGTCTGGTTTGATGTGTGAAACTGGTCCTGAAATTTCAAAAGAACTTTTTAGTTGAACTCTTTATAACAATATTCCTTTGTAAAAATTTTAAATTGTTATCTAATATAGGAAAATCTGTCACATATTCTTATTTTACCTGACAACAGTTTTGGAGACGCTACATTTTTCTACGACCGACTGCAAAATATCATTTACTAACATTGGATCAAGCTTCTTTTTAGCCGGTTCGTCTGGAAATGCTGGTGAAGGTTTTCCAGTTAAAGAGTGGGTCACCAGTACTCTGAAAATATAATGATTATTATTTCGTATGTTACTGGAATGAATGTTTCCAATATGAAGTAAAATTTTTCTACTGACTTTCACGAAAATACAGCAGTTAGTAGTTTTTTTGTAGCGTTTGTGTATAAATTGCAATCCATGTGCTTCAGAAGCCTAGCTGGGACCACAGCATTTTCATCACCTATAGCCATTCTCCTCCTTAATGCAGACTGAGATTACATTATTTTGTTTTAACGACTCTGAATATTAATTCTTTTGATCCTCCAGGCTTCATACTAACACTGGGGTTGCCAGCGGCAGAGTTATGTAATTAACACACCGTCTTATGTGTTAACCATGCAGTGGGTATTCATATCTGAAAGCAAAAAAAAATCTTATCAATTATCAACGAATTGAAAATAATGTTAACTTGAATTATGTTTTTTTAATGCCAGTACTTAATTATCTGAGTAATATTTTTAATTATCACATGATTATGTTTGTTTTTTTTTTCTAAATATTAAAAAGATTCTTCTGATTCACCATCAGGTGTGATATTTTCTTTTTTTGAGGTCTTTTTCTTCTTTTTATTTTGTTCTCGTGTGTGGAACATTTTACTTTCGTCCGCACACTTTGTGGTGATACTGGTCCTGAAATTTAGAAAGAGATTAGTAGTTGAAATATTTATTACGATATTCCTTTATGAAAATCTTAAATACTTTTTTGATACAGGAAAATATATTATTTTCATACCTGACAACATTTTGGGGGACGCAACATTTTTCTACGACCGTCTGCACAATGTCATTCAGGAACATTGGATCAAGCTTCTTTTTAGCCGGTTTGTCTGGAAATGCTGGTGAAGGTTTTCCGGTTAAGGAGTGGGTCACCAGTACTCTGAAAATATAATGATTATTATTTATTTATGCTACTGGAATGAATTTTTCCAATATGAAGTAAATTTTTTCTACTGCCTCACGAAAATACAGTAGGTAGTAGTTTTCTTGTAGCGTTTGTGTATGAAGTCCAAACCAATATGCTTAAGAAGCCTAGCTGGGACCACAGCATTTCCATCACCAATAGCCACCTATAAATCGGGGAGTATTACATCTTAATGAGATCTAAGATTTTCGCGAGTACTCATTTAAATGAAACTAATATTTTTCGGATTTTACTTCGCGTTTTATTTTTGATTAGAAAACTACATACTCCCGACGTTTCGGCTACTTTTCAGTAACCATGATCACGGGCAGACGAGATGTGAGTGTCTGTCAGTTGGTCTGGTTATTTTATCTCCTACCGCCATCGATTTCTTAATTTTCTTGCGTACCGCTCTGGATATCGGCAAAATGCGCTCACGGTGTCTCGAGGTCCTGCGGTGTGGTCACGGACAAGGGATTTTATATTTTTAAGAAGAGGATCCCAGGTGTTTGATAGGTTCCTGCCAACTTCTCTATTGATATTGGGGTGTTTTTTTTATTTCAATAGCCTCGCGGATTAACCTTGGTATATATCTGTCTTCACGAGTGAGGATATGTGGTTTATCAAATCTAATGTAATGACCTGGTTTGTCCAATGCATATTCGCACACGGCTGACTTCGACGCGCGCCTATTCCTGACGTCTGAAATGTGTTCCTTAACCCTTGTACCGATGCTTCTCTTTTTCTGTCCAATGTATGACAAGCCACAGTCACAATCAAGTTTACATACAGCCGCTTGTTGTAAAGGAATGTTACTCTTGATTGGTCTCAAGAATTGGCTCACTTTCTTATGTGGTTTATAAATAGTCTTGATTGAAACCTTCTTCAAGATGTTGCCTATTTTGTCAGTAACTCCCTTCACATATGCTAGAATTGCAGGTTGTCGCTCAACTGTAGGTGGCTTCCTCTGGTTCTTGCGATGCTGGCGAGGCACGGGCAGGCTGTTGATGGTCAGAGCACGCCTTACATGCTGCAGCTCGGCCTCTAGGTGGTCAGCATCACAAAGGTGTTGTGTATCTGTAACAAAGATTTACCAACGATAGCTAACTGTACAGGGTGGTGGTGTGAGTTACCATTGAGATACCTATCCGTATGTGTGGGTTTCCTATAAACAGTATGTCCCAAAGTATTGTCAGGATTCCTGATGACAAGTATATCAAGGAAAGCTAAAGAATTATTTGCCTCTAATTCTATAGTAAACTGGATCTTATTATTGATAGAATTAAGATGGTTCAAGAAAGCAGATGTTTTGTTTTTATGTAATATTGTGAAGGTGTCATCTACATAGCGTTGATAAATTAAGGGTCTTATTGTATTACATCTTATACAACAATAACATTGTCAATATAATTAATACAAATGAATTTGGTACATACATACCGTGTCGTTATTAGTTTTAACATTATTTTTTGGTTTAAAAACTTTTATTCGCTTTACATTTTTCGCTGTAGTATCATTTTCACCTTTATTAAACGTAGAATCGTAATCTCTCATTGTACTCTGAAAGGATATGTTATTTAGAATGTTTAATGATAAAAACGACTATTTCCTTTTATAATTTAACTTACGAAGTCCGTGGTGACTGTCAAATTTCCATTTCGCTTATTGGATCTCCTTCTCTGCTGTGGTCTGAAGAAGTCATCACTCGAACAGTCTGTCATTTGTTCGAATGGGTCTGGAACTGAGAGGGTCTCTGGCTCTCTAGTTTTAAGTTCCGCTTCCAGTACCTCGACTTTGGAATGTAATTCTTTAATTACTTTTTCCATTTCTTCTTTTTTAGGTATATCTACTACGATATTCGTTTGGGTTGCTACATCGTATGTTATTTTGGCCTTGGGGACTGGACTGGTTTTTCGATTTTTACTTTCCGGCGACACCTTCCACGATTTTCGCTCAGCGGTTGTCTTAGCGTTAGGGCTAGTACTCGGAGAATGCGAATTCTGAAATTCATAAATGTTTATTATTACAATCAAATATATTTAGTCTTTTTTTATAAATATAATAACACCTAATAATCCTACTACCTTGGAAGTTATGCAACAGTTACAAATAGTTGCAATATGAACAGGCCCATCCATATTGGCTATTGGTCGGGAATTGACTTTCACTGAAATTAATTAAATCTACGATCAAAACACATATTTGAATAACATAAACAACTCGATTTTTGTTTTTTTTTTTTTAATTATTGGGGAAGCATATTTACCATAATTATTCCTATGTCAGTCCAATAAGGCCAGAGCCGCATCCATTTCAGATGTTATCATCACAGTAGTCATTATTAACTGAAAAAAATATTTAAAAATAGACACGAAGTTAGACAAAAGTAGTACATATGAAAATAGCACGACTTTGTTGCAAGTTGCAGGTACAAAATAAAAGTTTCGTTAGTCTCGACGTACACAACGTTAACAGTAATATCTTTATGTATTCTTGTTGCTGGCTCGAGTCTACTATCCATAGAGCTATTGTTTGCTTACTATGTATATTCTAATAGATCAGTTTACGTCTATATGACATCTTTTATTTTAGACTCTTTTACCTGCTGAATATTTTATATTTAATACATTAGTAATAGCAATTTTTTATCCTTGTTATTAAATACTTCCTCTACTTCTGACTGATATAAGTTAAATTACTATACGAATACTACGCGTATTTTGATGTCTTAGATATTATATATGTAGTTATACGTACATTAATGTTTATAATATAGAAATAAATCTCAGTTTCATTTAAATAAACACACGCGAAAATCTTGAATATCAGTACATATTTAGACTAAAATAATGTTTTGTTTTAATATTATTAAGTCGTCGCGTCTCTCTGATTTCTACCAATAAAATAAAAGTTCATATAGGTATTAATCTAAATATTTAAACCTAGGAAAGAATTTTTCTACAATCATCAAACATAAAATATTACAAAATATTTTTTTTTTATTTAAAACACTAATATATACAACCTGACACTACCTTTACAAACCAGTTAGAACTCAAACGTAGAAATATTCTAAATTGATAAAAATTAAACTTACCTACTTATATAAAAATTACTCTCACAGTTAGTATATCAGAATAACACAAGTGTGGTTACTTCCTCAATTACTGAGTGTACACTGACCAATATTTGTAACAGGGTTGACTAAATCAGCTCGCCATCGGGTAGCTTTGGGGGTTTCATTATATTACTCTTTTGTTTCATTATCAGGTACATCCTTAATTCTTATTGCCTTCTATTGTTTTCAATTCTTTCAAATACGATTTCAAATACAATATGACTACGAAGAAAATTCATTCACTAGAAACTAGTTTATCCATTTATTGAACTAATTAGCTTTCAAGAATAATTCTTATAGGGATTAAAAAATTATTTTATTTTTAAAACAACAGGAATCGTTTTTTTTTTGTATTCTGAAACTATCAGGTAAGTAACTTAAAGCGTATAACAGGTATAAACAATAATGTTATATTAAAAGTCAATTACTTAAAAAAAAATTACTACGTTCAAATCTTTTTCCAAATCTGATATTGACTTACAAACCTTTTTTTATTTTAGAATTCGTATTTAATTGAAAATTTACTAACTTAATGATTTTCAGTTAATGAAGGTTTATAAAGACGAATAATAAAAATGTCTAGTAGACAAGCAAATCTTTTCAGTTTCAAAAAGTATAAAATTAAAAATTTTATGATCGTTTTTTTAAGTTTTGTAAAACCGGATAATATTTTTTTTTATGTTATATAATCTATAACAAATTATTATATAGGAAAAATATACTATGCCATTATTTTGTAAAAAAAAAAGTTTGAGTTTGGAATTTCATTTCACATACCTACTTCTTCTTTCTGGCAATTTCCCAGCTTTAGCCAGGGTCTGCCTTCCTACTTAAGCTCCTCCACTTTGCACGGTCTTTGGCATCCTCGGTGGCTAGCCCGTTGGCTCTCATGTCCTGCTTCACGGTGTCCAGCCATCGCTTCTTTGGGCGTCCTTGGGGTCTCGCTCCAGGGACAGACATAATAAGGCATATTCTTACGATGTAGTTCTCAGGCCGGCGTATAACGTGGCCATACCATCTCAAGCGACTCTCTTCAAGCTTATCCGTTACGTTACGGACTCCAAGACTACCTCGGATAAATGTGTTACGTTTGCGGTCAGCCCGCGTAACGCCACACAACCACCTCAGCATCTTCATCTCCGTGACGTGAAGCTCCTGAGTGTGGCTGAACAGTACTGAATCATTTCACATACTAACATATGTAGGAAAAGTAAGAAAAATTAAATTTTCGTACTGCTTCATTTTTATTTAACCAAATGTATTTACATATGTACGTTAAATTATATACACATTTATAGTCCTAGGTATACACTATACACCTTGTATTTTATGGAATAAAATATAATGGATGCTTAATAATATATATTTGCTTAATAATATAAATGTATTCAATAGAATTTATCTTTTACTAAAAGGAAAAGCTCACAAGTGACCATCTACGAGTATATCTAATCCATTTTTGATTATATGTTGAATTAATTACTCTATTTTAAAATAGTTTGAAAATTACATTATATCATAAAAAAAATGCTGAGAATATATAAAAGTTTTGATATTTATTTATATTCCTTTGTATTTTATAACGAAACGGTAAAACTTCTGACAATTTTATAACCATAACTCGTTCAAGAAGAATTTCTAATTCATGAGTTTTTAACTTTTTAAACAATCATACAAATAATAAACTCATATCTGTCGATTCAATTTGAATTCGGGTTTTTCAGGAAATTAGCTTATTGGTGGACGGAGTTCTATTTTTACCTATAATTGTTTTAGGAACTTTTCCGTTGTACCCATAATATAAATCTTACATCTATATATATAAAAATGGATTGCTGTTCTTTAGTCTCACTAAAACTCGAGAATGGCTGAACGGATTTATGTTATCTTAGTCTTTTAATGTTCGTGGAGGTTCATGGAAGGTTTAAAAACTGAAAAAAATTGATTCATTTTCGGGAAAACCCTAAAAACAGCCCTTTTCTATTTCCCATACAACGTTTTTTTTGACATTAGATATGACAACTAACTAATAGGTATGTCAATCATTCTGTCGCACTTCAAAACACGGAGACTTATGGCTTAAAGGTAAACTTCAAAAATATAATTAAAAAAACGAAACAGATATTTCTTGATTATAAAGCGATACGAAGTTCGCCGGGTCTTCTAGTAAGTATTTAAAAATCTTACTCATTTTCACAATGCTTGAAAATACAGCTGATTATAAACATATGTTTATTGTTATATTTGAATGAAGAGATATTTTTTCAATGGTTAGAATTCTAGAAAATGATTAATGGAAAATGATTTGTAAAATTAGTACTGTTTCTTAAAATTCAAACGACTTCCAACGACTTAGAGCCACTAAAAGATTATTATAAGATCAGTGTATCATATTCTTTTGTTTGCTAATATTTCTACCTGCGAATAGCAATGGATCCTAAACTTTGGTTGCTTGTAGAATATGTCGAAGATAAAAGTGCGTTTTCTAATTATGGCGTTATAAATACTAATAATATCATCCAACACGAGGCCGATCTTAACAATGGGAATGCTATTTTCGTCAGAGATAAAAACAATGGTGCACTCAAGGACCAAGTACTTAGGATATCTGGTATGGTGGATTTTCTATTCATTTATTTTAATAATTTGTGTTTTCTCATCCATAATTATTATAATAATTCGTACATACATTATTCTCACTCTTATAATGACTCCAATAATTTTACTACAGTTACTGTCCGTTTAAAATGTGAGCATGCTATTTCTTACTTTCTAAGATCTTCGATAATAACAATCACGTGGCACCTTATGATTTGAAGAGAATTAGTGCATTTTGCAATTATAGTGATACTCATATAAATTAATTGATTGATAATAATGATTCTCTTTGTTTCCTATCTCATAGAAAGCAAACGATACGTAAAGGATTTCAAAATAACGTTGGAGAGACAAGACAATCAAGTGAAGAATGTCGTTACTTTGTGCATGAATACCATCAAAGAAACGAAGACTGGCCAACTGGTAAGGTGAAACTTATACATTTAATTCGCATTTTTGGTTTAATTTCTAAACGAGAACTCGGCAATATTATAATATAATACTTAAACGCATGTTTAAACCATGTTGTCGGAGGAAGAATAAAATAAGATTATACTAAATAATTCTAGGTTTAAATCCCTCACGATATGTTTGACATCGATGTATGTACAATAAATCAATTAACTTATCTACTAATTACAATCACATTTAAACATTAAGAGTTATCTGAAAGGGAATGATGTCATATTCGTAGAACCTTATTTATTTGTTAAAAGTATTGTTTTTTATAAATTATTTATATTACCACGTGGTTATTTTTGATTTGTATTTAATACAAAAATGTTTTTATTTTCAGTTATTAGACCATCAGGAAGGACGATCTTTGAATGCCTTAAATAGAACATGCAAGCTTCAGAACAAGTTGAAACGAGTTCGAGTGATAGCCATAGTGATGAAGAGGTAAATCAACACAAAATACAAATATTCAAAAACAATGATTTAAAATCCTACAGATTTAGATGTAGGTGTAAAAATTTCGATATTTATATCTTATTAAAAGTTCGAATAACATTGGTATATTTGAATTTCCTTTGCTCCCTTAAAGACGGGTGTGACAGTTCTAGATGTAAAAGTTTCGGTTTAACCATTTGTTTTATTTTGTTTTCAGATCCATCACAATCTTAATCTTACTAAATCCATGATAAAAACCCACTATCAATCTTAAAGACGAGATTCGATGCCCAACGAACAAATATGTAGACTTTTAAATGACAAGACTATTTTCATTATGAAAGGTACATAATAAATATATAGAATACTAGAAGACCCGGCGAACTTCGTTTCGTCCTATAATCAAGAAATATCTGTTACGTTTTTTTTATTAATATATTTGGAGTTTACCTATTAAAGCTTTAAATCTCCGAGTTTTGAAGTGCGTCAGAATGATTGACATATAAGTTAGTTGTCAAATCTGATGTAAAAAAAAACCTTTGTATCAACAACTACTAATAAATTAAAAATTAACTAAAAAAAACATTGTCAAGCGGACAAAATTGTGAATCTAAACCATTCCCAGATCCCCTTGAACACACACAAAAAATTTCATCAAAATCGGTCCAGACGTTTGAGAGAAGTTCAGTGACATACACACTCACAACAGAATTATATATATAAAGATATATAATATTGATTATATCAGGTATCCACAAGCGGAAATGTTACAGTGCCAGCAAGGTTATGGTCTTATATGGATTGGAAAGAAGCGAAAGTCCACAAAAAAAGAAAATATCGACCCAGGTGATGAATCGGAGGGATCTTTTATTTAAATTAGAAAAAAGAAACAAACAAAAACATAGGATTTTATTAATTTCAGAGAGAGTTAATTCCTGACCGATTGTTAATATAGATGGGACTGTTTATATTAAAACAATTTTTAACAGTTTCGTAACTTCCAAGGGATAAAGATTATTAGTAGTTATTATACTTACAGAAAAAGACTAAATATTTTTGATTGTAATAATAAACAGTTTCGTAACTTCCAAGGGATAAAGATTATTAGTAGTTATTATACTTACAGAAAAAGACTAAATATTTTTGATTGTAATAATAATCATCTCATGAATTTCAGAATTTGCATTCACCGAGTACTAGCCCTAAAGCTAAAACAATCGCTGAGCGAAAATCGTGGAAGTTGTCGCCAGGAAGGAAAAACCGAAAAACCAGTCCAGTCCCCAATGCGAAAATAACATACAATGTAGCAAGCCAAACGAATATCGTAGTAGATATACCTAATAAGGAAAAAATGGGGAAAGTAATTAAAGAATTACATTCCAAAATCGAGGTTCTGGAAGCGGAACTTCAAACCAGAGAGCCAGAGACCCTCTCAGTTCCAGAAGCCACTCGAACAAATGACTGACTGTGCGAGTGATGACTACTTCAGACCACAGCAGAGAAGGCGAACCAATAAGCGAAAAAGGGATTTTGACAGTCACCACGGACTTCGTAAGGGAAACTATACAAGAAATTAGTAGCCGTTTTTATGAATGAAACATTCTAAACAACATATCCTTTCAGTGTTCCATGAGAGAATGCGATTTTACGTTTACTGCTAAATTGTTATTCTACCAAATGAATTTACATTTACATATATGTATATATGTATTTATAGTCTTAGGTACACATCGTGTATTTCAAGAAATAAAATATTATGGATGTTTTGTATTGTCTTTTATTAAATGTATTCGACACGTCATAAGTTTTATTGAAACGAAAGCGACCATCTAGATCAAAAATCTAATTATGTAATTGGTTTTGACCAAGTTAATTTTAACAATAAGACACCATAATTTACATTTTGATAAATATAAGGTGTTTATTATGAGCCAAAAACAAACTTAAATTACATTAAACAAATAACATTTTCATCAAAAATAACATATTTGTAATATTTTTCTAATTATATTAAAAAGATTCTCCTGATTCATCATCAGGGGTGATGTTTTCTTTTATTAAGGTCTTCTTCTTCTTTTTATTTTGTTCTCGTGTGCGGAACATTTTACTTTCGTCCGCACACTTTGTGGTGATACTGGTCCTGAAATTTCAAAAGAGATTATAAGTTGAAATCTTTATTACGATATTCCTTTATGAAAACTTAAATACTTTATTGATACAGGATTATTTTCATACCTGACAACATTTTCGGGGACGCAACATTTTTCTACGACCGTCTGCACAATGTCATTAACTAGCATTGGATCAAGCTTCTTTTTAGCAGGTTTGTCTGGAAATGCTGGTGAAGGTTTTCCAGTTAATGAGTGGGTCGCCAGCACTCTGAAAATATAATGATTATTTACTTATGATACTGGAACGAAATTTTTCCACTATGAAATTAAAGTTTTCTACTGACTTTCTCGAAAAAACTGCAGTTAGTAGTTTCCTTGTTGCATTTGTGTATGAAGTCCAATCCATATGCTTAAGAAGCCTGGCTGGGACTACAGCGTTTCCGTCTCCAATAGGCACCTAGACATTAAGGAACATTACAACATATGCATATAACAATAACACTTATACTATAAATAATACAAAAGAACTTATTTTACCTTGTCTTTATTAGTTTTAACAGTATTTTTCGGCGTCAAAGCTTTTATTCGCTTTACATCGTTCTCTATCGTATCTTCATCTTTATTAAATGTAGAATCGTAATCTCCAATTGAACTCTGAAAAGATAGGTTAAGTTGAAAGTTTTTATGTTAAAAATTTACCACTAGGTATCTTTAATAATTTAACTTACGAAGTCTGTGGTGAATGTCGAATTTCTTTTTCGCTTATGCGATCGCCTCCTCTGCTGTGGTCTGAAGTCATCACTCGAATAATCTGTTATTCGTTCTAATGAGTCCGTAACTGAAGAAGTCTCTTGCTCTTTGGTTTTGAGTTTCGCTTCTAGTTCTTCTATTCTGGCACATAAACCTTTAATAACATTTCTCATTTTTTCTATTTCAGATTCGTTATCGACGACGATATCCGTTTGGGTTGCTATATCGTATGTTGTTATCTTCTTTGGTACTGGACTGGTTTTTCGACTTTTCCTTCGTGGCGACATCTTCCACGATTTTCGCTCAGCGGTTGTTCTAGGGTTAGGGCTAGTACTAGGTGAATGCGAAGTCTGAAATTCATGAGATATTTATTATTATAAAAAAAATCTTTATTAGTTAAAAAAAAAAATAAAAACAGGAACTACTGATATTTTTAATACCTTGGAATTTACGAAACTACTGAAAATTGTTGCAATATGAACTTGCCCATCCATATTGGCCATAGGGTGGGAATTGACTCTCTCTGAAATTTATAAAATCCATAATGAAAACACATATTTCAATAACACGTACAAATTTATTAGAGTAGATGTGTAATAATAATGAATGAACGAACTAGATTTCTGTTTATCTATTATTGGGAAAACAATTTACCATTATTATTTCTGTGTAAGTCCAACAAGGCCAGAGCCGCATCCATTTCGGATGTTATCATCACAGTAGTCATTGTCAACTGAAAAAAAAACCATTGCTTACCAAATTTATATATAACTTTGGCTTTTAATAGACTCTAAGTTCGACAAAACTAGTACATATAAAAAAAATATGACGGTTCCATTGCATGTCGCAGGTACAAAGTAAATAGTTCGTTTGTCTCGACGTACACAACGTTAACGGTAATATTCTTTAAGTTTTATTGTTGCTGACTCGAGTCTACCATCCATTACTATGGTTTACTTATTATATACTAATGGATCAGATTATGTCTAAATAGCATCTTTTATTTAAAACACTGCTACCTACTTACTGGAGGTTTCAAGTGTAAGCCTAGTACTTAGACGACATACTTTTAATCGATATCGAGGAATGCTCGAATATTTTATATTTAATACGTTAGTTATAGCAATTATTTTATACACTTGTTATTTAAAACTTTCTGTTTTCCTGAATATGAACTTTGAATTAAAATTCACACTATTTAAATTCAAAACTATAGTTGAAGTTTTGGTATCTTGTAGGTATGTTGTATAGGATAATAACTAAACAGTAGTAATAAAATTCGTTTTCATTCAAATGAGCACTCGTGGAAATGGTTATAAAAACTAATAGAATGTTTGTTTTTAATACTATTAAATCAGCTCGAGGTCTGATTTGTATGAATATAAATGACAGTTCATTTGAAAATACAAGCTTTTTTAACCTAGGTAGTTAAATACTTTTTTTTCTACAAGCATCGAACATAAAAAAATTACAAGAAATTATAGGTATTTCTCTTATTTAGAATCACTTTTATCTTCACCCTTATAGAACAATAACAAACAAGTTAGAATTCAAACGTAGATATGTTTACATGGATAACATATTCCCTTAAAATTTAATATTGAAAGTTATTAAAAATTTAAACTTACCGATATTTAAATTTATTATCACAGTTAAAAGATCACAATACCAACAAGTGTGGTTACTTCCTCGATTACTGAGTGTACACTGACCAATATTTGTAACAGGGTTGATGAAATCAGCTCGCCATCGGGTAGCTTTGGGGGTTTCATTATATTACTCTTTTGTTTCATTACCAGGTACATCCTTAATTCTTATTGCCTTCTATTGTTTTCAATTCTTTCAAATACGATTTCAAATACAATACGACTACGAAGAAAATTCATTCACGAGAAACTAGTTTATCTATTTATGGATTACTAATTAGCTTTCAAGACTTATTCTTATAGCGATTAAAAATATTATACAAAATCAGTATACAGCATACAAAAAAAAAAAAATTCTTAGAAATAAGGTTAATGTAAGTGTGTGTTTTTTTTATCTCAAAATAAATATTAATTAATGGATTTCAGATATCAAAACCTTAACGAATTTTTCTTGTTTAAATGAACTCGTGAGCTTTAATAAAGGATAAGACCTATACAATACATTAAACATAATATATAATTTATATACATTTGGTGGAATAAAAATGAAGTAGAACAATTAATATGTTTTTTACTTTCCCTCTACATTCTAAATATATTCTCTATATTATATATATACATATGTATGTGAAATGAAATTTCAAACTCTAACTTTTGTCTTACAAAATAATGAAATATAGTACATATATTTTTCCGATATAATAATATGTAATAGATTATATACCAAATAATAATAAATTGCAATAGGGTACTACAAAACTTTGAAAATACAATCTTAAATTTGTGATCAATTTTTAAATATATAATTACCAATCAGAGAAAGCACCTATAAATATTAGTGCAGCTTGCAAACATTCATTATAAATATCAGTTATATAAATAATTCGCCTTTAATTATGTGACGAGGTTATTAAAAACATAGTTATTTTAAGTAATTTAAAATTTTAAACCTATTGTTTGAATGAAACTGATATTTTTCGGATAAAACACTACATACTTATATACATTATATACGGACTTTTGATAAAACACTACATACTCTCGACGCTTCGGCAACTTTTAAGCTACTGGGATCACGGGCAGACGAGATGTGAGTGTCTGTATGTTGGTCTTGTTATTTATCACCTACCGCCATCGAGTTCTTAATTTTTGTGGCATATGATTTGCCAACGGTAGCTAACTCTATAGGGTGGTGGTGTGAATAACCATTGTTATGCCTATTCGTATGTGTGGATTTCCTATAAACAGTATGTCCCAAAGTATTATCAAGAATCCTGATGACAATATATCAAGAAAAGATAATGAATTATTTGCCTCTAATTCTATAGTAAACTGAATCTTGCTATTGATAGAATTAAAATGGTTCAGAAAAGCAGATGTTTTTTTGTTTAATATTTTGAAGGTGTCATCTACATACCGTTTAAATATTAAAAGTCTTACTCGAGGCGAGCAAAGGGCTCGCACCTCGAAGTCTTCCATGAATATATCAGCGACAAAGGGGGAAAACCGGTGAACCCATTGTAACTCCATCTACTTGTATGTAGAATTCATCCTTCCACATGAGATATTCAACTGAAAGGCAATACTTTAACAGCTCTGCATATTAGTTTTATTTAAATGAATAAGACTCGCGAAAATCTTAGATCTTATTATTTAAACCTAACGACTGTAAAACGAACAACATTGTTAAAAATACACCGAAATAATAAAGACAGACTCACTTAATTGTTTCAAAATATGAACAAAACAATTGCTGGTATTTTAAAAATAAAATATATTTTTAAGAATAAGAAAGAACAATAAGAATAACGCATGAAAGCTGATTAGTCCAATAAACGGATTAACTAGTTACTAGTGAATGGAATTTTCTTCGTAGTCTTATCTATATTTGAAAGAATTAAAAACAATAGAGGGCAATAAGAATTAAGGATGTACCTGGTAATGAAACAAAAGAGAAA